CCATATTGCAACACTTTTCAACCTCCCTACCCTGCCAGTGGCTCTCAGCCTGAAGCCTATTGGATCCTTCTAAGCAGGAAGCTTCTGGTCAGAGACCTGAGGCGAAAGCGAAAGTCCCTTAAATCTGCATCGTATCAAACGGCCAGCAGTGGGCGACTCCTTTGGTTGTAAAAAGAGGTCCGGTTCCATTAGAAAAAACGGTAAAATGAGACTACTTCTCACCTTATTTATTACCTCAGTAAACGATGGCAGAGGTTAAATAGCTGAGTTTCCCTACCAGTCAGTCAGAACTGAGGAAGTCTCTTGGATGAGGGACGAAACGTCTTCTAGTATCTTCAACCAAGTCCAGTTTCCCTTGACGTCAACCTTCGTTGGATGACAGTTAATGTCAATTACAGATGCACCTAGCTAAGTAAGCTAGCTAGCTCCACACACAGCCGTTAGCTCCACTGTCTCGTCCAAATATGGTCACGTCCGGTGCCTCTGGTTACAAAAAATCAACATGGCGGCCCCCTATCGGCCAAAGTCGAGGCTTCAAAACGGCAGTCCACAAAGACGTCACGATGACTACGTCCACTTCTTATATACAGTCTATGGTTTCTACTGAAAACAGTCATAAGAGACATAAATTCGTCACAAATATTTTGAAACGTTTATTAAAGTCATTGCATAAAACAGCTGGTTACTGTTGTACTACAGGAAACAATGCATTTGTTGGAATTTGCTAGCTATATTTCCAGACGGTGTGTGGGATTGAGTCATAATAAGCTACAGTGTGTGTGTTCATTGTAATTAAGGAATACGTCACCCAGTGTAACAGTGCCTACCACTGATGTGTTTTTAATCGTTTTTAGATATCAATGGAGCTCTATGGCACAGAGGGAGAATATGTATCAGGCTTTGGATGCACACACCAAATATATTGTTGCTAAAATCAACTCATTGTTGCTGTTGGTTTTCCATGGGATTTGTTGACAAGAAGAAAACTATAGACTTTCACCAAAGGTACCCTTTAAATGGTGTAGTAGTATTTATGCTTATGCTTCTGAAAAGAATGATGCTAAAATAGTTTTAAGGAGTAAAAGAACCCCCTTAAAGTCAAACCATTTGAACATGGTTCTGTAGATAACAGCTCTGAAAGGGTTCATTACAGCAGCAGAAGGGGTCTGCATGACACTGGCACGCATGGTGCAAATACCCATTTTCTCTCTATAGAGAGACCCTGTTTATTTAGAGCATAGTCCTGCTATGAAGAGTAAGCCAGTGCACATGCGAGCTGATCTTCCCTCAGGAGAGAGCAAGAGGCTGCTGGAGAGATAAATAATGCCATTTCACCAACAGCCGCTGTGTCAGTGACATGAGCATCCATCTGCTGAAACCCGGACAGGATAGACGGGGCTTACTGAACACATTCCACCCAGTCGCAGTGGGAGACAGCTGATCGACTTGGGGCTGGTTCTGATCTGTTTGACCCCTGCCTGGAGGTGACCCCAATCTGAATTGGCTGCGACCGAGGTTGGAGAGCAGCTAGGGGTTGAACTGGGATTTTCAGAGCAGAGAAGTAGATGACGGCTGGGGTCAGCGTTGGGACAAAGACAGAAAGTAGATGTAGAAATGTGGATGAGACAGGGGTGGGATACAGCTGCGACTGGGGTCAGCACGGGTACTTGTGTTTGGATTAAAGGATTGATCTCTGAGGGAACAAATACTCTGCACATCTTCAAAGGCGTCTAGAATCCTTAAAGATCGGTATAATTTTTTTCTTCCCAGAAATGTAATAGCTGAAAAACACAGGCAGGTTATTAACATGCAATTAATAACATGAATACATTGAATGTTATTGAATACATGAAACATTAGGTCGGTCAGTTCCATGGTCCCAGTCCTGTGCATGCTGGCTTACTTACGCTACCCTAAAACTGAAACAGAGCTATCATTAATAGTCTTAATATGCTCCCGTGTTTTTCTTGCTGTGACAAGTCAAAATGTCCCCTGTGAATAAAGACTGCTGACCTTTTTTGCGGCAGGTTTTTCCACTTCCAGATCAGAGGTATAACAAAAAAAAAAAACACCCTAAATTGACTGAATTCCATTATTGTTCCAGGTTCAGGTGTTGTGCATGTTAGCTCACTGCCCTAACTTGCTGGGACACCTAAATTGAATGCAACCATCGTTAATGTTAATACTCTTCCTGCATTGACAGGTCAAAATGACTGTCACGAGAAAGGTCTATTACTTTCTCCACTTTGGCATTTAAAGGTTACAACTCTCTGAAAAAATAACCCAGACGATGTCGTCAGAATTATGCCAATTTAGGACTGAAGACCGGAACATGTTTAACAGAAGGCTTGCGTTACAAACTGGGGTTGTAAAGTTTAAAATATGTAGGCATCTACTTGGCAGGGTTCCCTAATGAAAGATGCTTTTGAATCGGTGGTCTTCGTTGGTCAAAAAATTCATGATCAAAACCCAAAAAGACCTGGAAATATACTACCTGGAACCAAAACAGACCTGTCCTAATTTATAAATCAATCAAGATATCTGTCTCCGCTGACTTGGAATTCAATACTAAATCTCTGAAGTGCCCTTTAACTTTGAATTCCAGAAATGCTTTTAGTTATTTTTAGGTGATTTAAATGACTTACTTTGTTTATTTTGGCTAATGAAATCAAAAGAAGATGTTAGATTTTTATTATAAATCTCTTTCTGTCAGCTGTCTTGTTCACTGTGATGAGTCTGTCTGACCTGCTTTCAGTTTCAGTGACTACCCAGATCTCTCTAATCTCTTCATTCTCTCTCTGGCAACGTAAATATAATTAGGGGTTCCTGTGTGAAGCTCAGGCATACTGTTTGTGTCTAGCTGGCTGGGTGGCCTGTAACTTATCTGGTGAGGGGTCAGAGTACGTATGTCCAGTAGAATATGCATGCAGAGCTCGGGGTCATGACTTTTGACCTAATAGGAATTCCTCTGTGGCAAATCTCTCTCTCTCTCTCTCTCTCTCTCTCTCGTTTGATGGCTGCTGTCAGAGTGTGCAGTAGTGTTTCAGCTCTTTTCCTGCATCCGCAACTGTAACCCCCCCCCCATGTCCTCATAAAGACTTTGACATTCACACCCAGCCCCAAACCCACTCTCCACCCAGCACTCCCTCTCTTCACTTCAAAGTCTACTGAACTGTTCCATCAATAATGCAAGCCCATTTCAGCTCCATGGACCAGACTGAGATCCACTCGCATGCCTCCCTCATTCCCACATGTCACCTCTGTAACACTCCCACAACCTTTCCACCTCCTTCAGAACTCACCTATCCCTCCCCTGTCTGCAGAAGACTCACTCGTCCCATCATGATCCTGCTTGCCCAAGCTGTAAAAGTGCAGCAGAGTCACCATTAGCTACCCCTCGGTTCACCTCTGTATACAGTAAATGTTATTTTTTTGGTTTGAAAGTAGAGCTGGCTTGCAGGCAAACCATGCACACAAACATTTTAATTAAAGTTAAATCTTCATCTGGTCAGAAATATTTGACATTGCAGCTCTACTCTCCTACACACTGGAAAAGGAGGAAAAGGGAGGACACCCAAGCTACATGCAGTTTTTTTATTTATTAGCATTTAAGCAAAAATATCCATAGATATAAGAAACTTCCCAAAACAAAGAACCAAATTCATGTCACACAAAACATGCTGGATTTGGATTAATGCTCCAGAATCTACTTTTTCAAATCAAAGGAAAACCCTGTAAATGAACGCATTGTATTATCTCCCAAACAATGTCAATCTTTCATCATTACTGACATATTGTTGTCCTTAAAAGCAGTCATAGACAAGAGTTTAGATCATAGAAACCAGTGGTAAAAATTTTCTGAAGAAAAACCTGAATCCGTTCAACCCCCTTCTCTGTGGTTGACTTAATGTTTTGTCTACAACCCGCACAAACCAAAGAATGTTGTCATGTGTCAAAATAATTAATGATATTCATGACCTTTTTCATGGTTTAAAATAAAGTTCAGTAGCTGAGCTTTTATGTTGAACTCTCTTTATCCTGACTGCTGAAGTTTCTAGTCGGTCTCATGGTGCTTTACTTCCCTCTAGTGGCGTTATTTTATTATTACCTAAACCATGACTGACATTTGTGTCAGCAACAGGCCAACATAAACTAAACAAGCCTCTGACCTTTGGTAAATTCCTCTGGTTTAAGGTTCACTTTGGTCATGACCCTTTAACCATATCATTTTGTATTTTCTGACTTTGGGTTTATTTGTCTATGTGGCCTACATACTCTGTTATGGGAAATTTCTCTGTGATTTCCCTAACCGCTGCTTTCATTCTTCTTTTTCTTTGTCTCTGAGCCATTCCAAAATGTATCCCAAAAAGATCCCACAATGCACCTCCACCCAGTGTTTGCATGCATTGTACTCTAACAGGCAGTAGAAATCCAGCAGTTCCCTGAACAGCTACTCTGCTGTCGGAGTGCTGCAGATCAGAGACAACTGGGCAATCTGGAAACTATTATGCTGCTTAGCTGGAATGGATCATGTGGAAGGCATGTCCGCTGCTCTGGGTTTTGTCATCATAAACCCTGCCTCTGTGCGTGAGAACTCAGCCAGCCTTTCCATAAAAGATGCACTAATCATGACTATTGCACAAGCAATGGGACGCCTTTGCGGTGGAAGTTCAAGTGCAAGTGCTAGTATATGCTAGTCATTGGAATTCCAACAGATATCAATAATAATCCAGTAATGACTTTGGCTGTGAATGTGATTTATTAATGCGATGATGTTTTCTATTAATTCTTTTGTGTGGTCATCCCTATCATTTATTTAGAAACCTTCTAATGTGTTAGCTTCTCATGCTAACTACCCTAATACATTTTTTGCACTAAACCAGAAAGGCACATAGAAGATGATAAATTGGATTTTTATTTATATGCAACCTGCAGCAGGAGTTGTTTTTTATTGCTTCACCCGTTAACTTTCTCCTCTCTATTCTTGGTGTCTTTGTCAGGTCATCGGCACCCCATCTGAGGATACTTGGCCTGGAGTTAACTCTTTGCCTCACTTCAAACCAGGTGAGATCTATCATGTCCTAAAGTAGTCTTATACATTCTTGCTGTAAACCCTCACCAACCTCTTTACCTTTACCCTTAAGCTGAATCATACTTAACCCTAGACCATAATAAAAAACAAAGTGAAGGGTAAGGGGTTAGCATGAAGCCCATATATAGTGAACATACTATACTGTGTAGTTAGCATGGAGCCTACTGACACTAAATATTCTGTATGATAAAGTGGTGCCTATTTTTACTCAACATATTATACTGTATTATAACATGGAGCCGGCTGTGTCTCAATGTTGTGTATGATAAAATGTTAGCGTGAAGCCCACAGCATATATATAATAGCACAGAGTGTATTTTTATTAAACATAATGTATGCTAAATGCTTAGCATGGGGCCTACTTACTCATGATTCTCTATGATAATGTTTGATGGTAGCATAGAACACTTTATCAACATCATCACACACAAGCAGGAAGCATATTAGGATCCTGTTCATGTTTCCAAAAAGGACATTGTAGTAGTAAAATTGGTAAATACTCCTATTGTACTCCTAAGATGGAATTCTCGTTGGGTTGAATATTAGTGCAAACATGATTGCTGTACAAAAAACTACCTGCTTGTATATTCTCAGGAGCCGATACCAACATGTATGCTGAAATATTAACATTGAATGTCTGAGCTATAGACTGTATGTTAACACTTTAGCCCATTCACTTTGGCAAGCAGTGTCTCATGGAAGTCATGGAATCTACTGTCACTCATGTTTGCTAACATGTTAACATTGCGCAATTTGTTTATATAGGCCTGCTAAGTACTCCAACCCTGACCGTCAAAACCAAAATTCAAAATTAACCAATGGGACAGTCTACGAAAAGCTTACTGCTTTACTCCATTAATATAGCAGCAGCAGCAGCAGCAGCAGCAGGTGTGGGGGTGGCAGCTCTACCAGGGCAGCCATGCCCTCTGGGAGCTCATTAGGGCTTTTTAGAGGGAGCATGAATAAAGGGACTGCAGATTAGTGTTAGCTGATGGAGGAAAGAAGAGCTGGAGTGGAGGAGAGGGGACAGGCAAAGATGGACATAAAGAGGGTTAGAGTGATGGTGTGGGGCAGTCAGGCATCACAAAGCTATGTGATCCAGCCTCCTATCTCCAGTGGCCAATTAGGGACCAACTGGGGTGACTCTCATGGCCACGCACACACACAACACATACAAATGTAACCTCTCATTCTGTGGCCATGGTGACAGTTGGCTCTTGGTTGCCTCTTACACACTGTGTTGAACAACTGTGCAGCTGTTTGAGACACACACACACACACAAACACACACACACTGGCAGCTTTGCCTTTTTTCTAGCCTCCAAACATTGCAGCTGTTCATGATGTCTGCAGATCCGATATTATTATGGCTGCACTTTCAAGATAGACTGGAAGAGTGAGATTTTACCAGAGATAATCTGGTAAACCTAAAGTCATAAAGCCTCAGACTGACAGTAGAAATGCAATCAAAGTAATCATAATCAGGGAATTGGCATTGTGAATGTTTATCAGAGCTTGTCCTCCTTGTTCGGTTGAAATCTGTAGCGTGAATGATGTGATATGACTGTTTTGTGATGTTCATATTGTAGGAATCAATAATCAACACATGTAATAGGATTTTTGTGGATCCTCCCCATTCAAAACCAAAGCAGAGTATCAGTTTTTTTAAGTCTTTATATTATGTGAAAGGATCTTTAGGTCAAAGTCTTTTTTAAGTATTGAAGTGTTTAAATAATTCTACAGCATATTACTTTTAGCACCAGTTTCATGGATTTTGTAGTACATCTAATTTATTAAAATAAAGTTTAAGAGGGGGCCAGATATTTATTATTAAGCCCTGTGTGTAACTAATTGTCTATACCTGTAAATGGTTTGTTTCTTCTTTTAGCCACACCATAAACCACATGTGTACAAAAAATACAAATATACAGTATATTGTTTGTCGTTTTTGACCTTTTTATTTTCATTCACTAATGGAGGTCGTTAGTGACACAGGAAAGGAAAGGATGTCCAGTTGTTCCAATGTCAGTGTTCCAGAGAGAAAAATGTCAGAACTGAATCTGGATATGATTCTCTATATATGTCTAAATCATTTTGGCCTATAAAAGGAACTATTGTGGTAACATATTCAGTCAAAAGCTCTGCAATATTCCAATATCCTACTATTTATTGTGTCAAAAAAAAAGAACATGTTTTTTTTCCATGCCCAGCTTGATAAATTAAAATCCAATCCATTCAAGAGGCTGCTGTGAGCAGCAGATGGCAGTATTGCATCAGTCTGGAAAACCTCCCTGTGGTAGAGGAAAAGTTTCCCCGGCACTGAGCTCCTCTGAGCTGACCGTTATCTGCACACTTTTCCAAGTGACCGTATCACTCTTTTGGTTTTTATTCATCTCATTTTCACATGCATAATACTTTCCATCATTTTTTTTCATCCTAACCTTTGCAGTTCATCTCATTAAATTTGGATTTCAGACATCACCGTGCGGCTTGACCTCAGAGTCGAGGCGCCACATTTTTGTGGTTATGACAAGGTTCCACAGATACTTCCTCGTTTCCAATCACATTTCTCTTAGCTCTCTCCCTCTAATCTAGTGCCGCACTTATTGGTATATTAGGTTGGGCTTATATACCAATAAGAGCTACACAAATTTTATCTGTAAACTGAATCTTTATCTTCATCATGTGCTGGAGCAAGGAACTGCGTTTCGCCTGATGATCATTCAAGTTTCATGGTTTTGCTTTTTAATTGAACAGAAGCAGCGTCAGAAATTAGACTTAAATGTAAGACGGCATTAGAGCAAATTATGTTTATCTATATAGATAAAAAGGTGAAGAAAAATGGGAAAGAACTATGATTCATACAATTTGAAGGAGGGGCGTGCATTTATCATCACATTCAAGTGCAGAAATAATTGTAGGGCAGCAGACTGGTAGAAAAGAAACATGATTTGTTCCTTTCCAAAATCTTCATTTCGCTTGTCAGGTTTGCCACATAGGAAAAAATAAGTAAGTTCAAAGAGTTTATAACAACTTTGATGTGAGAATCACAGGATTTTGTTTATGGAAAGTGGGCAGGATAGTCTAGAAAATAGCACACATTTTATTTTTTTTCATTTTAAAACATGATTATGTTTTATAGTTTATAATATAAAATGGGTTAAATGCTATTAAATAAAGTGTATATAATATTTATTTATTAATATCACAATATAGACAACGCACATCCGTTTTCAATGTTGTTTTCAAAGTGACAGAAGTGAATCTGGATTGATTTGCATGTTTTTACCTCTGCAGTTGTGGTAACATATATGATAAATGGAACCACATCCTGTTAAATCCTTCTAGAAGATAACAGTAATACAATGGTATGGTTTACACAATTGCCATAACTGTTACTAAAATGTACCCAAAATCTTAATAGTGGGTGGGAGCCATGCCTATCATCTTATCATTCTATCTTTCTTTCACTTCCCCTCCTTCTATTTCTGGGTACTCCGGCTGGCAGCCTTCACCTCTGGCACCCAGGAAGCTGTGGCCAGTTCAGGCCAACCCTGGCACTTAACTGGCTGACTGGACCCACTGTTGGCTCGCTGGCAGGCTGGAGGCTGAATTTGAAGACAGTTGGGTGGTTGGCTAGTAGGATTAGGCTGGCAGTGTGAGAGGTGGACTTGCTCGCTGGGTGGCTGGCTAGCTTGTGTGGTGGCCGGTCGGTTGGCAGCTCAGCCTGACTGTGTGTCCACATGGCAGTTTTGGCTGAAATTAAGAGAGCAGTGCAGAGCCTCACACACTCACAGCATAATAAACATAGCTGTGGAAATATGGAAAGACGTCTAACCAAACTCCTCTCAAAATTAAGACTTTAATGTGGTCTGGCTTTGGATCAGAAGTACATTGCTCATATAATATTACTCAAGAGCATTTCTGAAATGATATGAACCACTCCTTAATTTAGCAAACTAATATACAAAGCAACACTCATTGCAAAACACTTTCATCTAATTTGTATGCCCGTTGTCCCGTAGTCATCTTTAGAAAAAAGTGTGGTTGACACAGCTAGGCTGACATATTGATGTGGCAAATCAGGAAAAGCACAGGTGTAATTAATTGCATGACTTATGGCTACATTCCTCCAAGATGATCTTTCTCTCACATGTTTAATGATATTAGTTACATCTGCGTTTTTCCTGCTATGATAAGTCAAAATGTCTGCTGTAATGTCGTGTAGAAACTATTGAATTACTTTTTATTTATTTTATTTACCTCATTATAATATTACTGTAATTTAACACCTCTGTGGCATCATCTCATAGTCACCTAAGAATTTATTTTTCTTTTAAGTTATTGTTTCTTGCAGAAACCGAAAAGCTTCAATTAAAAGCTTAGTCCCAATTAGCCGTCTGTCTCTTTTACTGGTCTGATGGCTACACGTTTTGACAAATAAAAGCAGGTCTCAATTAGAAGCCTGCTCTGTTTTTTAAAGAAGTTTGTTGGTTGTATACAACTCTTTAAGTCCACCAGGTCGCTAGTTATAAGCTGCTTAGATTGCACATATAAATGTTTATACTTTTGTCAATATGGACATGCTACACATCATACATCTGTTAGATTCTCCACAATGAATGATTCGGTACCATTTTTCAGAATCCATGAGCATCAAAGTATAATTAATTCAGATTTACCAGCATGGTAAACAAGAGAGCCAAAAAAGAAGTGGTGACTCTGTACCTTTGAAGCGGTCCTAAAATCAGAATATGTATTCATTCCTTGATTATTTATATTGCTTTAGTCCGTAAGAGTCTGTCAGTCAAAAGAATCAAAAAGTTAGTTCCAAAGAAATAATTGAAGTTAAAATAACTGTGGTAATCTTTGCCTTTCATCCTTTCTACGGTGCATGAGATTGGATGTGCAGTCTCAGAGCAGGATCAAATGACATGTAATATTTATACTGGTTTAAATAAACACTTTGATAGTAGCCTATTTTCCCATCTTTGCTGAGCAAGAGTTTTTGTGCGAAAGGAATTAAAAGCCTTTCTCATACAGGACGTGTTCATCAATCAAGTTTTACAGGGTACTTGCATACGTTTCAAATTAAAAGCATTCGAGAATGGAAGGGATGTGCCCTTTGTGCTGCTTTAAGGCTTTCCATATGAACAAGTAATGTGTTTTATTGATGGTAGATTAACAGTGATTATTAACAGTGATTATTTAGTCTCTTATGTAGGCTTGTTTCAAAAAATGGACTGTTACTTGAGGTAAATAAAGGCTCTGCCACTGTTTTACAGGATGTTAAAAGGTATGAATATTTGCCATTTTGCAATAGTCTTAGTTAATTTGTGTTTGTTTCTTATCATTACAGACCGCTTTACAGTGTACAGTGCGAAGAAGCTCAGACAAGCGTGGAATAAGTAAGTGAACTGTTCAAATAAGAGTTGTGTGTGTGTGTGTCTCAGTCTGTGCATATACCATATATGTGTTGTAGGTGACGGACACGCTATCATCTTTGTTCCTGTCTTTAAATGCAAACTCCCATAAGTAGCGAACACATTGTTAGTGCAGCTCACGCACTCTTTACACGCTTTTCGCATGTGTTTCTGCTCTGGGACATCAGACGCGGCAGGAGAAGGGCGCAGTTGGGGCTCTTCCCAATAGTGGGCCACTGTTTGCGGGAGGCATACATCTGGAGGGGAGACCACAGAGGGCAAAGGTTTAGTTTGTGTCTTTTCCACTTTTCCAGAGGGAATTTTAAAGCAGCACAAATCAGGATTTCTCTAAAACTCCAGCTGTCTAATCAGCTGGAATCACAAAGTATTGCTGCTTCAGTGAAGATTCATCCCCGCTAACTAAAGGCCTCATCACACGGGACTCCTAATACCTGGGTTCCTCCTGTGATTTATAATAATTACATAGGTCATCTGTGTACTTAATCCCAGGAGAATCCGCTGTGCCTATAATCTGTAAAGTAAGAATTACACCGCAAAGTACTGACCATAATGTGTCTAATATTCCATCTGTGTATGAATCAGCATCTCAGTAATTTGGGGTTGTATTTTTCTGTCCCATGTTAAGGATAGTGGAAAAGATTAATGAGAGTTTTGAAAACATTTTTGGTGTAGTACTTGCTACAATGCTTTTGTTTTGATCAGCATATTTGAATGAAAAACTACTTGATTTATCCTGAGAAAATTAGCCTAGCCTGACAATAAAGAACCTGATGTTAGTTATTGCAAAGCTCAGCCAACGAGTTAACATTATAGCAATAATCACTCTGAGGTCGTGCTGGGCGTTATACCGGTATTATAATGTATGTACCGTTTATATATAGTTTGATTTGGAGTAAATTAATACATTTTTCCATAAACTCCTGCCAGCATTCGCTCCTCTCTTTCCTGCGCCCACTCTCCCTCTGCGTCTGTGTGCAGCCCCCTCAAGCTCACAAATTCTTTTGCAACATGGAAGGAGACACTGCTGAAAACCTGGCTTGTAAAAAGGAAAAACAACAGTTCAGTCAGTGTTTCACAAACATAGGACCAGATTTGCGGTTTGCGTGCGTAAAAACATGTGCAAAATTGACATCACCAGCAAATTAAAGCTTCAGTGTGTAAGATTTAGTGACATCTAGTGGCGAGGGTTGTGAATTGCAACCATCTGTCCAGTCTACCACTGCCCCCTAACCTTTCAAAGAGCGTATTTCAAGTAGCCGGGAATTTAAAAACATAAATATTCTTTGTGTGGTGATTATCCGAAAGTCCCTCAAGGTGCGGACAACTCGGCACAACATCCGTGAAGCTGGGGCTCTGTCTCTTCACCAAGTGTTCTCTTCTGCCACTTCACACATACACATACACGCCTACGCTTACACATGCGCACTGACAAGCCAGGGTTAGGGTTACAATTGTGGATTTATTCATGCACTTTAAAAACATTTATTGAAAGTTTTATTCTTTTTACATGTTTATTTACATCATTAAACATTGAAATGTGTATTGTAATAGGCTTTATATTAACTTATTGAGAGAAAACTGGTAGTTTTATGTAAAATCAGACATAGAGCACCCCCATATCAAAATGGCATGATCGTTGTTTCGACTGTGAGATTGACAGTCGAAACAGGCTCCAACCATCGAAGCATCGAAACTTCAACTATTTGGGGTCAGCCCTAATAAATATATATATATATATATATATATAGCTAAAAATAGGTTTAGCCAGATTATCTAAACTTTTTTATTTGGAGGTCAACCTGTATGAATTCAGCTGCAAGAACAGTAAATTAATCAAGAAAGACCCATTTTAGGGCCCTTGTCATTTTAGTTGATTTTGTACTTTAGAGGTGAATATTTTAGAAGAAACGTTCAACTGACACACAGAAAGACTGGAGCTTTTGGAGACCCTGGGACAGTTGCCCTCTTTGCCTGGTTTGTAATCCAGCCTTGGCTCAGATCATAAAAAAGACCCTCAAGATCATTATACAGGTGCTACGTACCAGTAACCTTGATGCCTTTTTAATTGTTAAATTATTAAATTAATGAACTTGTTTATCTTCCTGTTCTAACTATCAACAGGAAATTTGTTAAAAAAAAAAAAAATAGAGAAAAAAAATCTCAATTGTTAGATCAGTTCTTTATCTGTGACCGCTGTAAAAGTAACAGTTGGAGTTTGGAGATCCTTCATTATTAAGAAGTCTGTTGAAAACATCTAATGACTAATGAAAAGCAAAGTAAAATTAGTTGAGGTGGATTTTCCCTCTGTCCCCTCCACCCCAGTCCCCTGGCCTCACTCCAGTCCAGGAGGAAATAAAAAAGTGAAGACAGAAAGTGAGGTGGAATGTTAATGACCATCACTTCCTTTCCGCTGCCTTTTTATCGTAGGCCAGGGAACGATGAATTTGATGTGAAGCAATACACTCTTTGTCTCTGCCATAAGTTGGCTCACGCTCTCTTGCTCTCTTTTTTTCTGCTCGGTCAGCCGTTTTCCTCTGTGCTGTTTTTCTTGCTCCAAAAAATGGGAATGATTGATGGATGTTTTTTTGATGTGCTTGTGTACTTTGACATGTATAGTAATAGGCTACAACTGTATATTGAAGGTAACTCGCTGCAAAATGCAGAAACCAGAAACATATATGGTGAAATCATGTCTTTTTGTTGCTGTGTCATGTTAGTGTCAGTGTTCATTTATTATCTCCACCAAGGAGGTTATGTTGTCAGTCCTGGTTTTGTTTGTTAGCATGTGTTGAATGAATTTGGTGGAACCATGGACTAAAGAACAAGGGACTGTTTTTATTTTTTGTGAAAGAGTTCACAAACACACTTAACATTGCAAGATATGGACTTTTAAAAAACTTATTTTGCAGATTATCATACTTAAAATAACCAAAACATAAAAAAACTTAATTATGATTAAGCAGGTTTGGTAGTTATTCAAATCTGTGTCTTTCACCTCTGATATGATGATAATGAAGCATTTTGAGTGATTGCATGCAGTAGGTTCTGCAGGATTGTTTATCTCTATGAAGCTTTTAACCTGAATGAATTATCTAGATGCTTTTTGAACAGATTTCACATAATAAAAGCATTCATACATTTTTCTAACTCTTATCACTACTATAATGAGTAAATAGTTCAGTTAACCTTTAGGTGCTGCATTATCTACAAAAAAGCAAAGATTAACAAGTAACTGTTAAATATTGTCATTCTCTCATACAGTCTTTTCATCAAAACAAATGCCAAACACTCTCAGGATTCAGCTTCCCAAACATGAAGATATGCTGCTTCTTTTATATCATCCACGACTCTCAGTACTTTTTTTTTTAACCCTTTTTAGGCTAAATAATCTAACTGAAAAGTCAATCAACAAATGAACTGATAGTGAAAATAATAGCTAGTCACAGTCCCAAAATGAGATTGTTTTCCCAAGGAGAACAGCAGCATCAGCCGTTTCAGCAAGTCCCCCAAAATAACGATGTTTATGTTCAAGTGGCTGTAATAATTCTCATGGTGGTGGCATAGCTATAGAGCAGGAAAGTCCATGTAGGGGGGAGGGCAGGGTGCAAGAAAGGCTCAACAAAACATCAGATTTAAACGCCAGAGAACACTGTTTGTTCTTAGCATTTACCATTGTTTTGGAAAATGTTGCCATGACCGTTTCCCTAACCATGTGTTTTATTATTGTAACCATGACAACGAAAATCCCCTAACCTTACCTTAACCTTAGTCATGATTTCAATCCAAACGTTTCAGTCAACCTGACCAAGTGTTTTTGTGCCCGAATGTAACCAAAGCTTTACTGCAGTTTTGTCATGTCATAAAACAGTTTTCAAACCGTTTCGACAGGCGCAGACAAATGATGTCGTCCTGCTGGTTGGGGCGTCAGATTGTAAAACGCTTCTGTGTGTAGTTCTGGAGGAGAAGGAAAAGTAACATATTTTCTTGTTGAATTTGTAGAACTTTTTGCCGAACCCTTATTTACTCAAGGAAGCTTTACTGAGAACCGGGCTCTGTTTTGCAGGAGCACCCTCATCACACCCACACAGTTACACACATTCACACCTGCAAGCTGCCCAGACACAACCACAGTCACGGCGGTCTGGGGAATGAACCGGCAGCCTCCCAGTTACAGGCCCATCAGCAGCCATTATTTCACCATATTGGTATTTGCTTTCTATAACTCAAATCAGTCAACCACTACCGGATACAGAACAAATAAGATAGTAGCATGCTAAGGCCTGTTTACCCACGTCCAAGTTGCCCTCATGGCAACCCCAAATAAGTCAGACATTATCAAAGCTCTCCATGAGACAAAACATACAAAGGCTTTCGTCCAAAATAGCTCTTGGTTGCTGCTTTGCTCAAACAAAGAGACTGGTCTGCCACTTTCTGCTGTGGTGGGGGGATGATACAGGCAGGTGGTGTCCTGTGTCTTCTCTCTGGTCCTCGCTGTAGTTTCCTGATAGAATACCAAGAAAAGGCATGCGTCTTGCACCACTGCAGAAAGAATGCTTCTCTGTGCAGTGGATGTGTCAGCACCTGAAGCTGTTGTGATAGTTTTAGGAGATGCTATCGATCTCACTGCAGATGTGTGCTCATTCACTCGGTCTAGCTGACAGCAATAGCAGGAAGGAATGTGCCCCTACTGTACATCAACACTTTACAAAGGCCAACATGCTCATATCCAGGTGATTTCACACACACACACACACACAAATCTAGCTGTTTGGATCTACGCCTGCAGAGAAACTACAAAGCAAAGCTCGAGTCAAGTTAAAAGCACTTACAGACACACCCACTGGTGACAGAGAAAATATGGGTCCTGTGGGTTTCATTGGTTTTAGTGGAGGATTTATTTTACCTGAATAGTGTTGTAGTGATGTAGTATTTCATTTTCATAAAGTTTTGGTACTCAAGCAAGAGAGATTGCCAAAAGAATGGTCAAAACTAAAGCAGAAGAAGCTGAGATACCCTGTTTTGTTTTTTTCAGTCCGTCCCTACCAAGTGAACCTCCACATGATGCAAGCTTTTAGCTTTTAATTTGTAGTCTCCTGGTTCAAGCTGAGATCATCAGGGGATATTCTTTTAGACCTGACAAAGCTCCTTCAACGCCACAGAACAGTTTTCACAGGCTGACTTTTACTTCCCATGACAAGTAAATTGACCTTTTTGTGTAAAATTTTAAGAATGGTAAAACCATTGAGTCCATCTGTTTGTCTCTGCTGACGGCAACATGTCTATATACCCACTGGATGGTCTCCATATTGATGGCCCCTAGAAAATAAATTTGGCCTCCACTATTTCCATCATTAGAACACTTGAAAGAATTCAAGTCTTACAGGCATTTTGCCATAAAATGTACTGGGCACATTAATGTTCCCAATTCATGCTCCACAGAAAAAGACTCCTCCTTTTTTGCACCCTCAAAGTAGGCAACCTCAAAAAGCTTTTCTCAGTAAATAGTCACCATGACACTGGCTTTTACTCCTGCTGAACTCTTGAGGTTTTTGCCTTTGTGGTACAAAGTTATTCCTCCACTCTGTCCAAAATTCCACGTTTGTCATATTCTTTTGTCTTACAAAGTCATCTAATGTTATGGTCTTGCATCAAAGCCACATAAGTCCTGCAAAATAAACAGAAGGCTTTGTGCTTATTTAAAGTGCAAACTCCCATCTGTCTGTTCGGTTCAGCTGGTCTGCTGTTGAACTGGTCTATGGGAGCGAGGGTGGTGCACAAGTTGGAGCACAGCCCGTTGCTGTGCATGGTGGGCTTTGGAGTGTACCACGTTGTGTGGGATATGGAATCTCATGTCAGAGAGTTTGAGCTTGAAGTTGATGTGGAAATAACAGTTTGACAAAAGAATCTTAGCACAAGGCCTGTTCACCAGAAATCACTGATTGCCACCACTAAGGTGCCCTCCAGCAAGGGCCCTGACCCCTAACTGCTCCTGCACAGGTGCTCGTAGGTCTACAGATGAGAATGTGGTTGCACTGGGCAGCTTACCTTAAAAAAATAATCATTATCACACTTCATTTTTTCAAAAAGGCTGACTGACTGGAATGCTGAATGAGAGATTGCACTGAGTTACAGAAGTGAGTGGAACAGAGGCTAATCTTGCATGCTTTTCTTTTACTCCTTATACTCGTTTACTTACATCATGTTGCAGAATGTATGGAAGCTTACAATTCAAATAATAACTTCTCACTGCCATAATGTGCCACCACTGCTAGAAGAACCTTGGCATAGCTTCGAAAATATTAAATAGCTGCACAAAATACTAAAGAAAAAGGTGACAGTATCAGAATTGGCCTTAAAACCCCAAACCATAAAACCAGTAATCTAGGAGGCTTTCTTTCCATTAGTGTAGTTTCACACAAATACAAGTTTGTCTTTAAACTTGGAGTGGAGTTGCACAGAATGTTCCAGCTGTATGAGAAAGAGGCAAGAAAGAGGCAAGAAGAGGCCCTGATGGACTTCATTAACTTTATCTCTGCCTCTTTGCTGAGTGGCGTTGATGAGTTGAACAGAGATTTATCCTCCCTCTGTCTCTTTGCTGATAAGTCGAGTTGAGATCCCCATTGAGAGCCATGGGAGTGGCTGTCAGAGTGCTTGACTAGGGAGCCAACCATGAGAAGCCTGCAGAACATGAGAGGCACTCTGAGTACTGCGAGCTGCGGGCCAGCGGGCTGCGCTGAATAACATCATGTTTATTTAATGCAGTGGATGCCTAATTACTGACTGAATTTGTTGCTCTTCGTTTATTTTCAATCTCTTCTACCCCTCAGCGCTGCTAGGTAGGGCTGGTTCAGGAGTTCAGTGACTCCCAGTACGAACACACGCTCAGACACACACACATTCAAATGGAGTCTGCTTTAATGAACACTTGTTTCTCATGGTGACCCAGTCGCCATGTGCGAAGCAAGCTCAAAAGAGAAAGGTGTAAGCGTGTGTGTGCTCATTTGCCTGTAAGAGGAAAGTGTTTTTCCTCTTGAGTCAGCAAAGCTTCAGCATAATTAAAAGACTTGTTTTTTGTTGTCAGCAGATCTGTGAATTGGAGAAAAAGTGAGTTGCTTTCTTAGAGGGATGAATGAATGGTATGATGGGTAACTGAAGTTCTTGGTTTCTTGTGTCTTAATAGGTTGACTGCCTGTTTTTTGTTCATGTATCTCTGTATATACTGTATATGTATGTTTCTGTGGTCACGCTGATAGTGTGTGTTCATGTGTCTCAGGTTGGGCTATGTGGACCATGCAGAGGAGTTGGCCTCCAGGTTCCTCCAGTGCTTCCCAAAGAACCGGCTGTCAGCCCAGGCAGCTCTGAACCACGAATACTTCAGCAACCTTCCTCCACGGCTCTGTGAGCTGCAGGACAGTACGTAACCCCCCATTCCGATTACTGCTGCACTAACACCAGCTGTCTGTGCTGGCAGGTCGGGCAGTATCAAAGTATTCCAGTGAAAGATGTCTGTCCATCCATGGATAAATGTAAATGCTCCGTACTTGTATAGCGCCTTTCTAGTCTTTTCGACCACTCAAAGCGCTTTTACACTACATCTGCATTCACCAGTCACACACATTCATACACTGAGCCTAAGTGCTCAAACGGAAACTAACATTCACACTCATTCATACTCATTCATCATTGCCGCCAGGGGCAAATCGGGGTTCAGTATCTTGCCCAAGGACACTTCGACATACAACCAGGGGGAGCCAGGGATTGAACCGCCGACCTTCCGATAAACGGCCAACCCGCTCTACGTCCTGAGCCACAGCCGCCCCATACACTGGATACACTGCAAACAGGAACTGCTAATAACTACAGTAATTTGGCATACTTTTGTTGGTGCCAATTCGCCAAATTGTGAACAAATTCAGGCTACAACTGGGCTTAAGTTGTTTTCCACAGCACAAGTCACATAATGTAGAATTGTATAGTGTATATTAGTATTGAATAGAACGTTATACTATAGTGTATATTAGTCAATAATCATCAAACTATGTACAAACAACAAGACTTTATACTTGTACTTACACAAATTGCATGCAGTACGTACGTAAGTCCAATTTTACGCGCAGGTGATACACCAATCATTTCTGTGGAGAACAGTCCAAATACCACCATTAATAGTCATGAGGTCACCAGCAGATAATGCAGAGGACTCTAATCACGATCCCCACTTTAAGCCCATCCACAGGATCAATTTTAATGTTGAACAAACACAATGCTCTCAGTCAATCCAAAATATAACTGAACCTTAAACCTGAAAAGTGAGTTTTGTCTTGCTCATGATAATATATATATGTGTGCAGAATTACTATTATATTAGTATGTATAACAACATAAAATGACAATTAACATTTGTGGCCTTTTAGAAATATTTAGTAACCAAGATAGCCACCCTTCTTTTCAATAACTGCCATGAGCCAGTTCCTTTATATGTTCACGATCAACTTTCACTGAAGCAGCACCCTTAGTCTTCCAAATGCTGTTCAAAGAGGTGTATTGTTTTCCCTGACTGTAAATCTGCTGTTTGAGAAGGGCCCACAAGTTCTCAAAAGGAGGCGAAGTCCTTATTTGGGCATCTGCGAGGCCCCTGCTGGCTAGCCAAGCAGCGGAGTACTGCGTGCATGTGATGGATCATTGTCCTGCATAAAGATCATGGCCTTCTTGAAGGCTAAGGGCCTCTTCCTGTACCACTGCTTGAAAAAAGTATCTTCAGAAACTGACAGTAGGTTTGGGAGTTGAGTTCCAGTCCATCTTTAACCCGAAAAGGACCAGCTATCTCACCCTTAATGATAGCAGCCCATACCACTACCCCTCCTCCACTTGCCTGAGTCTGAGTCGAAGTGATGCTGTGTCCATCAGTGGTCCATCAAGAGTCACTCTCATTTCATCTGTCCATAAAACCAGGTTTTTCTTTGCCCAGTCTCGACACTTCAACTTGTGAATCTTATTCAGTGGGGGTTATGTCTCAACCTTCCTGACCTTGGCCATGTCTCACTTGGCACCTTGTACTTCTGGACACTCCAGGTAGGACGTAGTTCTGGAATATGGGTATAATGAGTTTCTCGTAGCTTTACATTTAATTCAACCCAAGTCTTTTGCAGTTAATATGTGTCTTTTCTTCTCCATGCATTTTCTGCACCCCAGTGGACTATTCGCAACAAAACGTTCCGTTGTCTGCTGGTCACGCCTCCAACTTTTTGAATTTTCAGAGTCAGTTAAAGCTCTTTTTTTGGCCCATTTTACCTGACTTCATGAGACTGCCTAATAATCATGCAAACATTGATATAATGTGTCATTCACTTTCACCACACCCTCCTTCATTACACAAATACATACCACCTGAAAATGATTAACTCCAATGAACAATCAAGTTTATATGGTTTAAAGTTGGAAAATGTGCATAGCAATACTTATTCATTTAGAATACTTACTTGCCTAATACTTGTGCACGCAGTGTAGTTAATAACATGATTTAATTGGATGATTATTTGCCCCAAAAATTACACAAACTTGAGTTGTTGGGGGGGGGGGTATGGTGCAATAAATTTAGGTGATTTTAAAAACTGCAAGTCAGCAGAGAAAAATAGCAATTTTTTAAATAGCTAACTGGTAATCATAACAGGTAATTACATGTATCTACAGAAGGTCTATTTTTACTTTCTTAAAAGTATAGTTACCTTGACAGTCAGAAACTTAGCCTCTCTTGCCTTTGTCTCTCTCTCTGACACTCTCTAGCTTTGACTCTCTCTCTCCTTTGTGTTTTTCTTTATCTCTTTTTTGAGCTCCCTCAGCTCCACTGGATCATACACTATCCTCCTCCTCTCTGTCTCAGTGTCTCTCTCTCTCTCTCTGCAAAGAAGGCGGCGAGCAGCGACCTGGGGTTGTTTTTGTTCATGCAAAGAAAGCCTGTCTTATTATGTGGATGCCGTTGGGAGAGTAAGCCCAGTCGGACCTCTGCTGGCCGCAGCAACATGCTCAGTTTGATTTTCTATCTTCCTGACTTGTTGTTTGCCCAGAGCAACAGCACACTGAAGCACTCTTTAAATAAAAGAACCAGCACTGAAAACACAGTACCTCAGAAACACACAGCATCTTAGCTTTCAACACATCTTCATTTTAGAAGCAGATTTTCATTAGTACTGTTTATTTCCCATATGTATTTTGAGTCAGAGGCTTTAGCCAAAGCTTCACAGTTAGGCTATATTTCAATTTTCAAACAGAATTGGGTTATTGCATGAAAGCATGTCAGAGATGACTGCATATCCATATTATTTGACAGGGTACATATACGTACATCACCAATCCCTTAAGCTGTTCTTCATTAGTGATAGGAAAAGCCTGCTCAGCAGACCCGTGTGTGCTGCCACTGACATGGTGGTAATATTAATGGTTGAATTCCATTTTTAATTCCCCCCTGATTAGGATTTTCAGCATTATTAATCCTGTTATCAGCACCCAGCAGGTTGTCATGTCTGAAAAGAATCAGGAAAGCGGCGGTCACTAAGAGAGGGAGAGAAGAGAGATGGCTCATTTTGATTTTTGTCATGCTCGCTCTCTCTTTCTCTCTATTCTCCCTTTATCTCTCTTTTTTTTTCCTCATCAGAGCCACTGAGGAAAGAATGGGAATGAATTAAAACAGCTTCATAAAATGAGGACAGGAGTGGATCAACACAAAGTATTTTCCATGCGTGTGGAAGACGAGTGTATATTTGCCGCTTGCACTTTTATGGGGGACGGATGTGTCAAAATTATGCAAATGAGAAATGAGTGTGAGATAAAGAACTAGATAATTGCTCCAGTTGTGAGTATTTGGCTAAAACTGCAACATGATAATCGTGTTCTTCCAACAGTAAAGACTGGAGCCAACAGCCCAGTAAGTATTATTCTATAGTCAAAACCCCCAGTGCTACCAGTACCCTAACCAGTACTCTGAAACGAACAAAATAAAAGATAAACAGGCCAAGAAAAAATGTCAAAGATGGTTTAGAAATTGATGAACCTTTCAAGTAAATGTCCCATGTTATCCCTGCAGGGATGAACAGTATGTTTTCTATGCCCAACTGTGCACTCCATTGTCATGTGTATTATGGATTTATTCAGACAATACCCAGACAGATTACCAGGGACAATGACAGAATTATTGAGACAATAGAGCTCCTGGGGTTGCTGTTACTGTGTGGATTGGATTGTGACATTTATAATTTGATTTCAGTGAGAGTGTGGGTGTCTGGTAGGGCAAGAAGTCTCTCTGGACAGCTGAAGATTTACATGGATTGAAGTATTTTCCTCTCACTGAATTACTGCTTCATATGTTTCTTTTAATGATATCCTCATATCTATCAACATGAAAACACAGGACTCTCCCGGATAATATAACACTGCTGTAAGTATTATTATATACTACCCATAAGCCTTTGCCACCGAAAATTTTAAACTCTGAGGCATACTGATGTGGGGTCAAGATACTGTTTGAGGTGAAAGGGACAAGTGCATGCTGGTGTTTTAAAATTAATGGCTAGTTAAATGTTGTAGTTTGACCCCCTTCGCCAACGCAGCGAGCAGGCTTGACAAACAATTCCTGAAGGAAGTTAAGGTACTAAGTGGGTGGTGATGGCGCAGTGGATAAGACAAATGCCTTTGGTGTAAGAGAGCCGGGTTCAATTCCCCACTGTGACCCATCCACCAATGTGTCCCTGAGCAAGACAATTAACCCCTCGTTGCTCCAGAGGCGTGTGACCTCTGACATGTATAGCAATTGTAAGTCGCTTTGGATAAAAGTGTCAGCTAAATGAATAAATGGAAATGTACTGTGACAAGACGTCCGCCTGCTGCCTCTCCTCTCCCTTCCAAACGCTAGCTACCCTCCAGGCAGTCAATGGACATAAAGTTGTTACTGTGATGTAGAGACAGAGCTCAGTTAAAACTTTACGGATGAAAGATACTTTTGTTACAGCTTAATAACTCACCACTCTGAAACTCTTGCTCCAGTCCATGTTGCTAAGCTGGTAAGGGGAACATGTTCAGCTGAACCAAAGCCCTGTTTACCAGCTTCTCACAGACCCGCCCTACTCTGCTTCTGCTAGTGGTCCTTAACTAGGAACTGCGCATGTGCAGCTCGCAACAAAAATCATGGATTCATTCAATATGACCTCTTTGCCAAAAAAACAGATATAGACAAAAAAAATATACCTCAAGTTGTAGGGGGGCACATTTCTTGCGATTTTGTCTGAAGGGGGACACATGGTGTCAAACTTTGAGAACCCCTGCCATAGTGAAAAAGCTGGGCAAGTCAAAACTCTACTATACTGTCCTTGCTGCAGTCTGAAACACTCTTCAGCTCCTGTCACACCAGCCACATTAGCATAACATGCTAACCCCAAGTTAAACAGGCTAGCTTACAGCTTGCAAGGTTGAAGTTGGGTCACAGACAGCAGTGATCCATCCTTGATTACCGTTACCGCTGGCCTTTGTTGATAAAACAGTTAGAGTAACACAATTCCAGTTTCCAGTTTATGTGGTGTAGATTTCCTAGATTTCAGTAGGCGGGAAGGTCACCTAGCTGGAGGAAATGTATCTAGCTGGTGGTGCTGTGTGACACAGTGACGTAGATAAGTACAAACGAGGTGTTTCAGGCAGTTCGGGAACAGTATTTTCTGCAGGACAGAATAACTCCCTTTAGTGTGGATTTTGTAAATTAGCACACCTTTTATATGTACAAAAGCTATATAAAAAACTAAAGGAAAGGGAAAATCCCAAAAAGCTTTCCTTTAAAAGAACTATGAGGGATGCTTGTTGGAGAAAAAAAATGTTCAGACCCTGTTCAAATGTTCTGGTTTGTAAAATACAATAGAAATGCATGGAAGAGCCTACTAGCAAAACTGCAAAGGGTTGTGGATTAGTTCAGGAAAGGCCCAGGTTTTGGCTAATAGGCTAAGGGCTAATACCGGACATAACAGAAACTGATGCGACAAACTACCTTCATTTAAAAAAATAATAATAAAAAAAAAATCACACTGAAGGGTTACATTGCTGAGTATTTTCTGTGCAACTCTAGTTAGCTCCTATGTTTGTGTCATGTTGGCGGTGAGGGCACGGTCTCAACTCAAATGAAGCACCTCCTGCCTCTAGGACCTTCTGTACTGATCTGTCTTGTTAGTTTAAAGCAATCATCTAAATGTTCCAAAATTAAAAAGCAAATGAGCACATGTCACATGTAGCAATTTAAAATTGAAGATTCTTCTCCTCATGGCAAAAAAATTTAAACCCTAAAAGACTCTCTGCAAATAAATATTCAAATATTCACTTTTTAATAACCGTCTCTATCTTTAACAACTCACTTGGAAATGTTCTTCTTCCTGTCAGCCTACATACTTCTAATCCGCTTGCGTCTTCTCCCCCTGCAGTGTCTTCTATCTTCACCGTACCAAATGTCAAGCTGCAGACAGAGAGCGGGGACAGCATACAGGTGTGTGCACGAAGGAACAGTCATGGAAAGGCATCCTCTGGCAGCAAACACTGACCTGAGGCAGCATCCTGCACATGACTGCCTGACAGGTACGTGCTCATTACCATGCAAGAAGCAGACACAAACAGTATGCAGCAGCATGCACAGTCACAGCCAAAAAATGACAGCATACAGGAGCGTAGGTGAAACTTTAAGGATCTTAATGGCGAGACTGGTTCAATGGAACATGGATACTGCAGGTCCCAAAAAAGAATCTCTTCTTTTTCTTTTGAAATTCAAGGTCTGAAGATGTCTGCAACTTTAGCAAGAGTGCCATTCATTCTGAAGTTAGGCAGTAAATGACTGTTTTTGTGTCGGCGTCTGTTTTCAAATTAAACAGCTTACCTTCATCAAAGTAGTGTATGCTAAGTGGGCCTTGTATCATACTGATCTACAGTTTGACCTTGAAAAAGAAGAAGGATGTTGTGGATTAACCTATATTTGGCTGCTTTAACCATTACAGTGGTATAAATATGTGAATAAAATGGGGGAAAAATGTGGTTTTGACACAGAAATTCAGTGCTTATGATGTCCAAATAGTCAGACTTAAACTAACATACGAGATGGGGACTCGAGTTTGAGACTCGAGTCGCACACACAGTAAATTGAAACTTGTCCTCAAAAGACTTCAGACTTGACTCAGACTTGAGGTGCGGGACTCGTGAACAGTGTTTATTTTTAGGAAATGTCTGATGAGCTTGCTGTTATTCCCCTCCCTGCATTACCTATAACCAACCTACGTAACACGTACTACGTATCAGTTGTGCAAAGAAGCGCTAAATGAAAAACAGTCAGTAGCTTAGCATTGGCCATCTAATGCTAGCTTGCTTCTTGCTTTAGCTACAACCTACAGTAGGTGATGAATGAGCGTTTGTTTGCTTGCCAAAGTCGAGATTGTCTTAACATAATTATTTACATCCTGCTGGCTGCCATCACATTAATTATTAATGTTGGCAGGTTACAGGTTTATTGTTGATCACGTTAGTTTTATTTAACGTTGAGAGTCTGGAGGTGTTGGATGTGTTGACTTACAGTAGTTTATAAGCTGTTGTAGTAGTTAATAAGTTGTGCATTGCACATTACATGGTTGTGTTCTGTAAGTGAAAAACATATATATATATATATATTTCTTATAGCTATGCAGTAGGACTTAAGGATTAATCAATTTCAAATTGAAATTGCGATGTTAAAGAACATGATTAGCTAATCGTGAAGACGGCGTAATGTAGGTTAATTATACAGGGCATCTGACCCGTTTTAAACAGTCACGCAGTTACAAATTCATTCCGTTGTCATTCTTGTGTGACAGACCTGCTCGCCAATCACAAGCGCCATGCTTCTCCTGTTATGGTCCTACTCACCAATCAGAGCGGGCCCAGACCTTGTACATTTTACAACAACAAACGAAACTAGAGGAAAATGTGGGATAATGGCGAACCGACACAGGCAGCGGCCTACACGTTGTTAACGTGTTGTTAATTTGTCATTTTGTGTGCTTCACCTACAGTAACGGCTCTCTGTGAGCCCGTTCTGTTCTGCTCTCTGCAGGCTACCGTTACATATCCACATCAAGCATTTCAAAATAAGTTATTAATTAATAATTTTGCCGACTTGTTCAGATGTCCTTGATTTTTGTGCTTCTACTATGTTTTTTTTTTGTGTCTGTTTTAACTGTGTTTATTGTTGATGATGATCGAGAGACTGCAACGGGTGTTTTATTTTGAAAATCGACAGGATTCTCTATGCCGGTTTATCTGCTCGGTGCTGCTTAAAGAAGCTTCCGTCAATAATAGACTGGCAGTGAATACTGAATATGAACTTTAGCAAAAAAAAAAAAAATCACAAACCACATCGTAATCGCGATATCTGGCAGAAAAATCACAATTACATTTTTTTACCCAAATCGTTCAGCCCTGATATGCAGTGTTTTAAGCAGCCTGGATTTAACACAGCAGGTGATACAACATTCATTATAACCACGAGTGAACTGAGACTTGACTCAAAGCTCAAAGACTTGTGAGCATCTCTGCTTAAAACATATGCTGGCATCTAATAACTATCCTTTGCTAGTTTTCTGTTTCCTTTCTACAGCCTTTTCTTTACTATTTTATATTAGCTAATTTCCTGATAAAATCGTTCGATTTTATTTTAAGTCATTCAAGTATGAAGTTTTTCAACCCTAAAAAGAACATAAATATTAACGTGTTTGAAAACAAATTTATATTGTACAGCCGGCAAAGCGTGTGCATATTTTATCATTAGCTCTTTTCGTGCATCAAGCAGTCAAATTGACAACTCTCTGCCTAACACTTATCTGCATCCAGCCAACCACCACAGTCTTTCTTTTAACTCTGACACCATGAGATCTGTGCTGTCTGCATTGAAGCAGAGAATGCAGTAATAGATGGAGGAATGGCTTTGAGTGGGCGAGGAGGGTGTCCCATTCTTTAGAGACCGGGGTCTCATTCACTCCTCAGATAAAGCTGCACTATTTGCATGTAATAAGGAGTGCAGAGGCCAGGCATGGGGATAATGGTTGGCCTAATGATGGACTCGGGATCGTGAGGGCCAGCACAGGGCCACAACACAGCGCCTCCGACCAGATTATATCTCTAATTACTGACAGGTGCAAAAACACACCAGACACGCCAACTCTACAAATAATCTCCAAGTTTCTGAGAGAATCTTCAGCATTTTATCTCTTCATCTTTCCTCTACAAAATCTACCTGGGGTAGATAGAGGCTGAACACTCTGTATTTACTTTGCCTGTGAATATATAAAGAGTGTGTGTATCCTGATCTGGAGGCTCATGGTGTTTCTGTGTGTGTGTTTGCGCGCGTGCATGTGGAGGGTGGAAGTCACCCCACTGAGAGAGCTGTGTCCTCTCAGCTGCTGCATTTACATTGAAATCAGCCTCTTTGTCCGGGCCCGTCCTAAAGCCTGACAGGCAGGGAGAGCTTCCCTGATAGCAGCCTAATCCTCGTGCACACATTCACATTAATACACTGACAAATTACACCAACACATGCACACTGCCATTTATGTGCTCCCACAAACATAACTCATGCACATATTTGAACTGGATTTCCCACCAAGTATTTATAGTTACAATGAGTTAGATCAGCTAAATGAAAAAACAAAGCAACAAAATTGTACAGAATGCATAGTATTGTTGTGTTTATTAGTTTTCCTTCAAAGAGGTTAATATGCAAGGAAGTAAGAAATACTATGAAATAAATAGCAATGGAAACAATTAAATGATTACATAGCAGGCTGATGAGTAATGTCACATCACTGTGCAACAGTTGAAACGTTGCCTTTGGCTTTTTAAAAAACTGTTTGTGAAAAGCCAAGTGCAGAACTAGAGACTGTGGTCTGCATCCTGCACTACATGTGTTGACAGGCAACTAAAAGAACCGGGTTAAAAAATAAGGGAAGGTTTGTTGTATTGCACTTTGGGGGACTCACAAAGAGAATGGTCGAAGCAGCAGAGGCAGAATTTTAGTCCATAGAATTAAGAGCTAACCTGCAAAAATGGTGGCTACTTCGATTTCCATCATGCAAAACATTAATCATGCAATTCAGCCACAACAAGTGAAAAGCGAAGGAAAAAAACCTGAATTTTCACTACAGTTGTCAGTGAACACAGTGGCGATACATTCCTAAAAGTGTCACCTTGTTAAGTTGATTAAAAAAAAATGTTATTCACATTTTTTTTGCATCAAAACACTTCTTGGTCCATTATCACTCATACCTCACACCATGGTCACCTACTAAAATGCATTCTGTTTTTAGGTTTTGGTACTTGGTTTAAACCAGTTGTCAGTTTTACTACTAACGAAAATAGCATTAACCATAAGTGTTGTTATGGTTACTTGCAGCTTAAGATACCAAATGCAGTGATTCAGAAAAGTGGTCAAACCATTGAGATGTTTAAATACAAATACAGCGTTTACAAACACCTGCCAGCCAATCAGAAACAAGTATTTTATCACTACTTATATCATTGTGCGTGGGTGTTAGAAAAGGATAATGAGCGCAAAGAAATCACTGTGCATCGTTGTTGTATGTAATTGTTCTGAGTGTGTATAAGCCTATTCTTTAAAGCCCTGGTTTTCTGGTTTAGTAAAATCAGAGGTAAAAGAGGTGAGGAGAAGGGAAACAGGGGAAGTGGGAAGAAGGGAATAAAAGAGAGATGGGAGCAGAGGCTTGCAGGAGCAGGGCAGAGTTTCTTTTTGTTGAGGCAGCGTTGTATTATTTATAGGAGGTGGTGGAGGCAGGCCGCTTCAGACGGAGCAGAGCAAAGAAGGCGAGCAGCCCCTTTCTCTTTTGTGGGTCTATTCCCAGTGGGCAGGCTTTGTGCTGGCTGGATGGCTGCCTTTGAGGAAACCCGGGCAGCTATTGAGCTGAGAGTGAAGGCCGGGCCTGACTCGCCCGCACTGAGACACAGCAACACTAGAGCACTACAATGTCTGTCACTGCTGTGGCCTGAGAGGAAAAGAAAAGGACGGAGAGAGAGTGACAGAGGATGGGGGGAAATAGTGGGAGTGTTTGATTTTGGCAGGGAGGGAAGGGAAAAAAAGCGTTTTGTGGTGAGAAAAGAGAAAGCCAGAAAGAGATAGAAGGAGTGGAATGAAAAAATGGAGGCAGGGGTGGAGAAGAGAAGAAAGGAGGAAAGGGGGGGAAAAAGGCAGGTCTCCTTTCCTTTACAGTGCTGCGCTGCACTGATCTATGTTTATTCATGATTCTGCATTATTCACAAGATTAGCTGATGCAACTTGGTGCCGAGGGTAGGCAATGGCTCCCCCCATCAATCCACTCAGTGACCACACAGTTCAACTCCGAGTCCCAACAACAAGTGGGAGACAGCTGCCCCGTCTCTGAGCTTCAACACACTTCACTGGTACTCTAGGCTAGAGTGCATGAAGAATTGGACGCAGTGTGCTCACAGTCAGAATACATAACCAAGCATAAAACATTGATTCAATCAGGGAGCAAACAGCATCATGAAAGAGGTAAAATCAACAGCTCAGTGCTTCAATCCAAACA